GAATAAAAAAATACAACAACTAGCGAACACAACAACAACAAAAAAAGCAGACTCACAGAGAACAAACTAGTGGCTCTCCCAGTGGGGGGAGGGAGGAGGAGCGGCAATACAGGCGAGTAGGAGGTACCAACTACTATGTATAAAAGAAGCTACAGGGATATATTGTACAACGCAGGGAATATAGCCAATATTTGATCATAACTATAAATGGAGTTATACCTTCAGTAACTGTGAATTACTACATTGTATGTTTGTAACTTATATGCTGTCCTGTGTGTGCTGAGTCGTGTCCAACTCTTGAGACCCCATGGACTGTAGCCTGCCAGGCTCCTCTGTCCATGGGATTCTCCAGGCCAGAACACAGGGGTGGGTTGCCATTTCCTTCTCCAGGGGATCTTCCTGACCCAAGACTCGAACCCGGGTCTCCTGCATTGCAGGTAGACTCTTTACCAACTGAGCTACGAGGGAAGCCCTGTAACTTATATAATATTGTACATTAACTCCACTTCAGTTAAAAACACAATTAAAAAACACCTGCCCTAATCTTTAAAAGAAGGACTGTAGTTCTCTCTTGAAGGTATAAAGAAGATTCAGTGAGCTGATACACGTAAAGTGCACGGCCCAGGTTCAGTTATATAGATGCGAATCTAAAGCCTAGAAAGAAAAATAAATAAATAAATAAATAAAGCCTAGAAAGGGAAAAAGCTATTTTGTCGCCCAACTACTGAGTGGCAGGGTTGGAGCTAAACGTCAAGTCCGTTTAGTCACAGTTTAATCACTTTGTCAACTGCAAGTTTGCCATACAGCACTGTCTCTCTGGCTTTGGCCAAAACTTCTTAAACTTTGAAGTTTTCTCCTCCTCCCCGAAACGTTCACTTCAGGCCCTGACTACAAATAAAGTGAGAATGCAAAGATAGGATAACTATGAGTTGACTAATAGGTAAGTGACGGGGCAAGCAGAGACACCGTGCGAGGGGGAATTTGTCCAGGAGGTGCTCCCTGCTGCTGGCCAAACGCTGCCCTGCCACAGCTTCCATTGCAGGTCTGAAGCCCCAGGGCAACACATTCTAATCTTGATCATCACTTTAACCTGGAGTCTAAGAAAATCCAGGACAACCAGCTGAGCAGGAAGAATGTGATGTTTAAAGAATCAGTGACCTCTCCTGCGCTACACTCAGATCCTCTTGGGCTTCTGCTTTGAAGAGAAGGAAAATGAATTTTGGGTTGTCCCTCTAAGTAATGTTTATTAATAGAGAGCAAGAATTGAGAAGGAAAACAGGACTGTAATCATTTTCAGAAGTGGTAGCAACAATATCACTAAGAAATAATATAAACAAATGTTGATAAGAGGTTAACAAACCAGAAAGCTGGATAATGAGACAGTGCATAAGCTACAGCTTATTTTCCCTCTACAGTTGTATAAACCAGGAGAAAAAAAAAGAGTCTATTTGAAAGAATGGTCAAAACAATAAGAATAAGAGTGTAATCGCTATCAGTGTCTTTATCACACTGCCAGGTAATTAGTTTCCTTGACATGAGTTTTTGTGTGTGTATATCCCCCACATTCTGTTTTTTCTTTCTGAGATATAATTGATGTATAACACTGTATTACTTTTAGGTATATATTGTGAAATGATCACCACAATAAGCTGAGTTAACATCCATCAATACTCATAATTATAAAAAAAATTTTTTTTGGACCTGGATTTTTGATGGCTAGTTAGGGAAATCCTGAGATAGAAGAGTGGTGGGAGGTTATCCTAAACATAAACATTAAGTGGGAAACAGATTTTAAAAGTAGCAGGAAATCAGAAAAGAGGGAGAGACAGGATTTTGGCAAATGTAGCGGAAACCTAAGAAGTAGACACTTTAAAGACAATGGCAAACCCGCACAGGGATTTGAAATAATATGGTTGTGCAGAGAAGCGGCTCTTGGGCCAAATAGGAAGGAAAACAATATAATTTGGTCAAGACTAAGATGGGGAGTTTTGAAACAGAGAAGAGACGGTTTGAGAAATGAAAGAAATATGGCCAAGGCAACATTTCCTCTTTTATTTTTACTTTCTTATAGTACTTTAAAGAGAATATTATATTTAAGACTCTAAACATATACTATACAATGGATATAACTCTTGGTAAAGAGAAAACTGAGGAATAAGAATCAGGGCAAAAATTCACCAAGACCTGGTCTTGTATCAGATGAAGCTGAGACAAACAACATTATTTTAGGAGAAAGTTCTATGGTCTATTTTATTATTAAAGAGAATAATAATATTTGGGGCACATTGTCACAGGATGTTTCTCTTTGTTTAAGGAAAATCCAAACTGTAATACAAATGAAAATCCAGTTAATTTGGTGCTTATGAAATAGTACATACACTGAAATAACTGAACAAAATGTAAAGACATGTCAGATTTTATGAAACTTCTGGAAATTACAGAAACCACAATAACTTGGTCATTATTATTTTTTTAAATCATTATCCTCATAACTTCACATTTCCTGATGCATAGCATGCCCAATTTTACAAAGACTTAACTGTATCTTTGAAGATAATCGAGCTTAACAGGCAGCTAGAATAATTCATAGGTAGAAGGACACATAGAATTATCCAAAATTCTGCAACGTCAACAGAGAAAACTGTCTTTGGATTTGTGACACCAGGGGGACAGATATCCACCAAGAAAGCTAAAGTGCAGCAAAGCACAGCTCTAGGACATTTAAACAGAACTTGAGCTGAGTGGAAGGCCTGGTTAACCACAGTTGAGTAAACCTGCGTTGCAGTGTAATCTGATAAGGAACTAACAGCATAGATTCTAGAAGTGTACACCATGTGTCCCTAACACACTAGACTTCTTTGAAAGAGTTAATCAAATAGTGGATAAAAAAGAACTGATGCATCTCACTCAAAAGTTTTTTTTTAAAGTCTCTCATAAGAGATTATTAAGAAAATTTAATAATTATTGTGGATTAAAACTTGATTAATAGACAATAAACCAGGACCAATACTGAAAATCTCCAGAGGTTAATACTAAGCTAGTATACAAATTTATTACTGACCCTGACATAGAAGAGGCTTGCATGGAGAGAAAAGGTGAAGGAAAGACTGAAAATTGCCAATGACGCAAACTAGCCACTGGAAAGCCTGGAAAGGTCTTGCTAAATAACAATGAAATTCCCTCTTCACAAAATGAAGAATCAATACTTAAAGGACAGTGATAAACTCAAAGTTAAAAGGTGGGAAAAAAGGATTAAGCAACACCTACCAGCATGAGAAAAAGGTTAAAATAGGAGAAGATATGATAAAGATTGACAAAGTAATAAATCGCAAAGAGAATGCCAGCTAACATCTCTTACATACCTTTTCCTTTATGAATATACGGAAACTTTACGTAGAGACATATTATAATAGAAGACAAAAAATTTAAAATAAAAAAGGACACTATTTAATGCAGCATATAATTAACCCATTGAACATGCTGCCACAGGACATTAATAAGGCACAAAGCTTAGTACAGCTTCCAAGGCCTCAGAGCTACCAGAATATGATTCCATACTGAAATTACTTAGGGCAAGAAATTAAAATGGGGTACATACCTCATGCTTCAGGGTATTGACCAGGCAAAGTCAGGAAGGAAGTTTCCTTTCTAATTGTATTCAAAATGATTTATGGTTTCAACTTTTAGATATTCCTAAGTCTGTCCTAAAAGTTCAAATTAAACAGACTCTTTTCCAAAAATTCTTACACTATTTTTTCCAGATATATTCTTTTTACCTGTCTATTTTTCTAAATAACAGAGCCCTCCTTTTCACCCAATTCTTCTTCCACTTCACTTATCCCAGCTTCGAAATATTGCCTAAGAAGTGATCATGAAGAGCCACTAAGTGATACACATAAAACTCCGTGTTGGGCAAAGAGAGCTCTGTAATTTGTTAAATTTTCTCATCTTTTTCCTTTGAGTGGACCAAAATTTAAATTAATACAATATTTTGGTTCTGTTCATATCATGCAATAAAAATCTGAGCTTGGATGCTAAAATGAATCATATTTAACAACATTTTCACCTGTGACTGAGAGCTACAGCAAGAAATGTCCTTTGATAAAATGAATTTGAATCAACAAGTAATATAATTTTATAGAATAAGATATTAGAATGCCACATTAAAAGGGCAGAGCCCCCCAGGCTCTACCTTTGCAGGGTGGGGGTGGGGGGTATGAGCAATTCATCTATGAAATGCTATGGCCTCGGTCAGTTCATAAATTAAGCACATATAAGAGTAGGCTATGAATGAGTTATAGGCAAAATTCACAACCACAAAGCCTAAGAAACTGTGTCTGAAAAACTCTGTGGGTCAATAAAAAACAGATGTTAAATTTAAAATTTTTGAAAATAATAAAATTAAGTGTAGACAAGTCCAAAGTGATCAGGAGGCAGGTTTACACCTTGTGTCCATTTTGTAATCCAATCCTCTCCATTTTGGGCTTAGCAATAGGGTGCCACACACGGTATAAGGCCAACTATAGCATTCAAGCTTGACTGGATTTTAAAAGTGACACAACGATCAAATATGCTACACAGGCATTCTAGAACCTCAGGGTGCTGCTGACCATCAAAATCAACCTTAGTGCTCACCTCAAATCTAAAACAGGATATAAGTACACTCTTTGAGTTAATTAAATACAAGCCCATGTATTTCATCTATTTTAAAAAAAGTGTCCAGAATATATCACTTGCAAAGAAAGGTCTTATTATGTAATGCAGTGTAATACCAGAGTTAAAAATAAGCAGATGATCTTATAAAATACAGCATTTATACTTCTTCTGGAGTATAAACTCAGAATTTGCTTTAGAATGTCAATAAGTAACATGTTTAACAAGATGAAACAAATAGAAAGCCAGGCAGCAGAGCCCTTCTGTGGAATTCGATTTGGCAGACAAAAGAAGGAAGGTGTATTTCAAACAGATGGAAAGTGAAAAATAATAAAAGTCATCCTTACCTGCATTAATTTTCCTTCTGCTGGAGTTATTTCAGCAACACCAGCAAACACGCCTTCCAAAGTGAGATTCAGTTTTCCTGTGGGGTCCATTTTCAAGGGGATCACTCTGATAATAGCCTTCTGCTCAGCTGATCTTTCAGACTCCACCGCTGCTGCCAATACCAGTCCCGTGCGTCCAAAGCCTGCCTGCAGGGTAGCCATCAGCAGCCAGGGCCAGAGGGCAGCCAGCTGTAGCTGGTGGCCACCACTCATGCTACCAGCTGCAGCGATGCACTTTGGCCATACATACTGCTTCCACTAGCTAAGACAAAACGCAGGTTCTCAAATCCAGACAAACGGAGGAAAAGAAATTTCTGCTTCAGTTTCAGAAAGCCGAGTCGTAGTTTTGGCCCTTCCTTTCTCTAACGTATATTCCCAAGGACAGGTGGTATTCCTGCTCAAGCAGGGAAGAAGGTTATTGTCAGCCTACTTCTGCTCCAAGTATGTCATTTTCTCCCATCTTCACTATGATTAGTAAAGATATTGCACTTTTCTTTGGAATTTTCAATGTTGCTTGAGGTTGAATGTCACATCCTGAATTTTTATTATGTCAGATCACCTGGTGCTGGTCTTGCATATGCAACAAGCTCTCGAGCCACTAAACCCAATGTTAATGAACAAAACAAGGCAAAGTAAACGACTAAGGCCATGCATCAAAGATGAGAGTGAAAAACTCCAGCTCGGAAAATGAAGAGGTGTCCCTTGTAAGTTACAAAACTTGTCAGTGGTAAAAGACTAAAATCACAGAGCTTTTTTTTTTAAGGGGAAGGAGAGGGAACAATATTTCAGACCACACCTTGAGAGATGGCCAAAGATGCTACACGTATTCATAAAAGTTTCAGCATTAAACCGTATTTCAGTGTAGCCAAAGTTCCAGGCCCACTGAACCTATAACACTTTTCATGAACTTAAATATACTATGAGTTTTAAATTTTCTACCTAGATTTGCTGTTAAGTTAGGTGCTAATTTATGTCTTCACATATTCACAGGATAAATCTGAGCATCACAATCTTTTCTAACTTTCATAATTAGAAGAATATTTGAAAAGGTTGGCTTTCCAATTATCTTTTCCAATAGAAATTCGTATTTCTATCTTTCTTTTCCTTTCTATCTTAGGGATTCCACCTTTTATTCCCCTACTTGAGAATGCCAAGCACTGTGATTTCCCATGAGATGCTTTTGGAAACTACTTTATTATCCAGATCTTATAATCTGTAATTTTCTGGGTTCATAGTAAAACAAAGGACTATTCCTAACACGTTTTCAAATTCCTTGAGGGGGTGGGGAATAAAAGATAGGGGGAGTAAGGAGGTGATTAGCCTACAGGCTCTAAGTAGAATGCCCTGAAAAAGTAAAAATGATCCTGAGTAGAGTAGGTCTGTGCTATTTCTAGGCACAGTTGAGAATTTGGGTCTTTGTACAAACAAAATCTTATTCTAAGATTTCAAAATGTGCACCCTTAAGTAAATATAAAAGCACTTCAACCACAAAACCCACTGTGTTCAGAGGTCAAGTTAAAAAATCTTATTAAGTCTTCAGAATAAGTGCTGAAAAGCCAAACAATTGAATATGAACCTGTTATATAGATTCTTTTCTTTCGCTGAGGCAAAGGGAGAAAAAAAAAAGAATTTCAAAAGAAATCTGCAAACCTGTTGTGCTGTCGGGCCCACTGGAATCCACGGGGGTGAAACAAATTCAATTATGCTTTTATAGATCCTGCTCAAGAAAAGGTTTCAACTGCTTAACCAAGTACAGTTCATTCTTCCACCTTCTTACTCTGCAACCAAACCAAGTGCCCCACACTGCAGGTAGGAGCCGAGAAATTCCGCAGCCTGAAAAAATAATCCATGCAGGTCAAAGGCAGAAACTTACTCCAAGGTTAGAGCTACTGTCCCCAAGAACTCTAAAAACACTTAGAGAGGATCCAAAACCATTTCTGAAATCTCCTTTCTAACAAAAGTCCTTTTTCTCCCCAAACCGCATATAAAAATGATGAGATCTTGAAAGAGCAAAGAAGCAAATACATCAGCAACAATTCACTACCAGGAACACAGACAATCCCAAAGGGAGAAGGCAAGGTCTCTGAATCATGGATAGACTTGGAAAGTTCGGAAGGATTCGAGTGCTTCCCTTCCAGAAAGACAGTTCTGGATCAGCTCCCTAGAGGAGGAAGCCTGTGGTTTGTAATTGGTGTTCTAGCTCGGACTCCCTCCCCTGGGACTGCAATCGCGCTCTCTACCTGCTGACACAAAGTGAGGGTGGAGCAGCCAGAGGCAGCCGCCCCGTCCCGCCCCCTCCCCCTGGCTGCCTGGGGCACGGTGCGCGCACACTCCACCACACACGTTCCTGAGCTCGCCCTTCTCTCGGCTCCCCAGCTCCCTCTATTGAGCCACGGCCAAACTGCACCCAGTCCAGTCCTCGGTACCTTTCTCTGAGTAAGCAAGCTCCCACACGTAAATCAAGGCCACAGAACAGATGGGTAAGCAGATTCTGCACCCAGGAGAGAGAGGTGGCGGGATGAGGAAATAAAGACCAAAAAAAAAAAAAAAAGAAGGAAACCCAGAAGATAAAATAATGGACACAACGTTCTGCAAATGTAAGTTCAAAGGGATTTCTGCTCTTCAGGGTTTTAGTGTCTATAAAGGCCACAAAGCCAAAATAATGTGATCCTGTGCTCTAGTTCTCACTGATTTATTGCTGTCCTTAGTCAGCTACCCTGGCAAGAATTCTGTCCATTTTATGCAGTTTTTCTTCAGCTCTTGCAAATTTAAATTCAGTAGCTCTTTTCTAAACTGTGCCTGTACCAAGCTTTTACGTTAGGTGATGTCAGAGGGCTGGAATCTGTTATTTTCTTCTTACATCCCTGGGATGTGAAATAATACTGTGGATCAGACCTGGGCCTTCAATGTGAGACTGAAAGTAAGTCTATATCGTAAATACAAGTAAAGGGGTAAATATATATGCCTAATAAGAGTGTAGGCAAAAAGAAAACTAATTTTTGGTTAATAACCACATTTGTGAAAAATAATCCTTCTAGTAACTTTTACCACACTTGTGAATATATTACCTTCTAGTAACACTCTTTAGAAAGAATGCAAAAGGTTTTGATGTATGTTTCTAAAATTTGAATTTTCAAAATGACCAGATTGTATTTGACTGTGGCCAGACATTTTATTTTTAACCTGATACCAATAATCTTTCCAAATTGTACAAATGAACAATGATGTGAATATGATTAACATTACACTTAAAAAAGGTTAAGATTTATGCTACATGCTTGTGGTAAAAAGCACATTTTAAATTGTGGCAAGAAGCACATAATATTTAAAACAATTTCTAACTTGTACAAAAGAATTGTGCAAATTGATCACCTGTAAAATGTGGAGAATAACTGCATTGTAGGTTTCTTGTGAAGATTAAATGACATAATGCCTTTGAAGGCAAAAGGTATGAATGACCTGGTCGCCTTGAGAATTTTATCCCTAAAGAGGGTTTACAGTCTAATTTGAAAAGATACATTTACCCCAATGTTCACAGCAGCTCCACTTACAACAGCCAAGACATGGAAGCAGCCTAAATGTCCATCAACAGGTAAATGGATAAAGAAGATGTGGTACATTTATACAATGGAATATTACTCGGCCAATAAAAAAGAATGAAACATAGATGGACCTAGAGATTATCATACCAAGTGAAGCAAGCCAGACAAAGACAAATATCAGATGATACCACTCATACGTGGAATCTACAGTATGACACAAATGAACTTACTTACAAAACAGAAAGAGACTCACAGACATGGAAAACAAACTTAACGGTTATCAAAGGGGGAAGTGGTGGAGGAGAGTGAATCAGGGAGTCTGGGCTCAGCAAACACGACGACTGTGTGTAAAACAACAAAGGCCTGTATCTTGGAATAAACTATAATAGAAAAGAATCTGAGCTTTTCCCTCCATGGTTTCTCCCCGCTCCCGCGAGTAACTTGGCTCCGGGGGCTCCGCTCGCTTGCCGGCATGCCGCCCACCACCCAGGACCGCGCCTTCGGCCTCTGCCTCGAGCAGACCCCTTCCGACGGCCCTTGCTGTGCAGGCTGGGACGCCTCTCCCCGCTCCGCCCCCGCCGCGTAAAGCTAAGTTTGAAGAGCGGGGAAGAGACAGAAACATGGACATGAAGAGGAGGATCCTCCTGGAGCTGAGGAACCGGACCCCGGCAGCTGTTCGAGAACTTGTCCTGGACAATTGCAAATCAAATGATGGGAAAATTGAGGGCTTAACAGCTGAATTTGTGAACTTAGAGTTCCTCAATTTAATAAATGTAGGCTTGATTTCAGTTTCGAATCTTCCCAAACTACCTAAATTGAAAAAGCTTGAGCTCAGTGACAATAGAATCTGTGGAGGTCTGGATATGTTAGCAGAAAAACTTGCAATTCTTACACATCTAAACTTAAGTGGAAATAAACTGAAAGGTATCAGCACCCTGGAACCTTTGAGAAAGTCGGAACGTCTGAGGAGCCTGGACCTGTTTAACTGTGAGGTCACTAACCTCAACGACTACCGAGAGTCTTCAGGCTCCTGCCCCAGCTGACCTATCTGGACGGCTATGACCGAGAGGATCGTGAAGCCCCAGATTCAGATGCCGAGGTGGATGGTGTGGATGAAGACGAGGATGATCAGGAAGGAGAAGATGAGGATAAGGAGGAGGATGAAGACGGCAAGGAAGAAGAGTTTGATGATGAAGAGGATGAAGATGAAGGTGTAGAAGGGGAGGAGGAAGATGAAGTCAGTGGGGAGGAAGAAGAATTTGGACAAGATGGAGAAGTTGATGAAGATGATAAGGATGAGGATGAAGACGAAGATGAAGATGAAGAAGAGGAAGAAAGCGGGAAAGGTGAAAAGAGGAAGAGAGAAACAGATGATGAAGGAGAAGATGATTAATAAGACCCCAGTAACCTGCAAAAAAAAAGAACTGTTCAGTATTGGTTGGACTGCTGACATGGATTTGGTAGTTGTTTTTTCTTTTTTTTTAAAAAAAAGGTAGCTGTGATAGAAACCCCAGGACACCCTCCCACCCAAAGAGCCAAAGAATAGTTCCTGTGACATTCCACCTTCCTCCATTTAGTCCCTCTTGGAAATCCACCACCAAGCTTGGGGACTTCACCCCAACAAAATTGTAAGCATTGTTAGGTTTTCGTTTAAGACTTGCTGTAGCATGGATAGCTGTGATTGGTGAGTCAACTGTCTGTGGCTACCAGTTACACCAAGATTGTAAGAGCATTTTTACTTTCTGTACAACAAAGAAGCTTTGTAAAGAAAATCTTAACATTTAAAAAGAAAAGAAAAGAATCTGAAAAAAAATGGGTGTATATATATGTGTGTGTGTGTGTATATATGTATGTATGAGTCAGTTTGTTGCACACTGAAACTAGCACATTGTAATTCAATTATATTTCAATTAAAAATTTAATAAATTTTTAAAGAGGGTTTATGGGGATAGTTTTGGCATTTTAGGCCTAATAGCACCTAAAGCTGAGAGATAAATTCTAAAGCAAATTCTTAATTGAGTACTTTTTCTTTATTGGTTGGACCATAAGAACATAATGCAAATATAGACCTTTTATAGCTCCTTTCCTAAAGAACAGGAATAGATCTAATTCTTCTGGAGGGAATTTTTTTAAAGTCTGCTATGGTTTTATGTTTTTATGTATTCCATATAAAAGAATAACAAAAAATTTTAAATATACATTATTACATATCTGATATATGCAAAAACACCTTTAAACTTTAAACAAAGAGTCACCTACTGATCCATTTGGCCTCACCTATTCCTGCTTGAAACTTGCAAAGGAATTAAGACACCCAACCTAAAAGGCTTAATATGGATACTTAGTTGAAAGGAAAAAAACACAGATGTGGTTGCTCTCTCTTGAGGAAACCCTGAGATCTGAGAATGAGGATAATAGGTATCATGAGGCTGGGTACCTTGAGCTACTCGGGATCAAACCAAACAGCTCTATAGGGCTTAGTTCACTGATATATTGTGCTTATTTACACAGTATTGACAAGAAAAAGTCAGCAGAATTGATAAGCAAGAGAAATTATTCTCTGGCTTCAAAGTTTTGGAGTCGTCCCTGGGCGATTTTAACTTCCACAGAGATGGCATAGAGATGGCGTCAGTGCGGTGATGAAGGGCCCACACTGACGCCTACTACCAGCCTTCCACAGGAGACAGATCACTTCAAGATCTACCTTCACATCTGCGCTGACTAAAGTTACTGAAGACTTCGTTTCTTTCCCCAGACCTAGGTTTCTATAAGCATGTCTAAGAACTGTCCTTATCCTCAATGGCCTTTTAAGGATTCAATCTCTATTCAAGTGTAAATGAAGAAAACTCAGAACTTTTTAAGTCGGATTTTTTGAAAAACAGAGCACATTTCCTTTTGAACTTTACTGATATGATTACCAGTCATGATGAATGAGGTTTCTATTGATCACCAATTCCATAGTAAAAACAAGCAAGACAACAAGTCTAGTTGAAACACTCACTTTATTGTTGACTGATTGAAATTTATTGTGTTTAAGGTGCTGAAATACTGAGGTGCTAGTCAGGAACCTTGTTAGCATGTATCAGACCCCACTGACTAATTTACACAAAGATTTTATGTTATCTTTTGCCACTTTTCCAAGACAGTAATGATAGCTTTAGCTGATGGGTAGCAGACATGTGGGTATAGCAGGAGATCCAGCTCCCCGGTCTGTTGTATCAATATATAAAAAAAAAGTTTGGAAAGCTGATAAAAGCATTTCATTAATTAAGCCTTAAAACAACTGAAACCAAACCCATGTCAAGGTTCCTGCTTGACACATGTTCCTCAAAAGATATTCTCTCTTTCAACATACAGGAAGCCAAGAAGGGCATAGTTAAGGGAAGGAGTATCACTTACTTAGTGATATTTTACTCATCAGCTTTTTCAACATGACAGAGAAAAGGCAAAGTTCCTTCATTTAGAAACTGGGTCTCCTCTTCACATACTCTACCAAAATACAGTCTGACCAAAAGATGCAGGAGTCTTGATAATCCATTCATCTTTTAAACCTTGCTGATAAAGATGAAACAAATGTTCATCACATGGACATGGACTAGTCTAATCAGATGGACCAAAGAGGTTACTTTTCAGAACCTATTTTCATATCTAAACTGAGTCACTGCAGACCAAAACAGAGCTCATCCTTTTCTAAAATACGACTATCTCTGTAATACTTCTGGGTTTGACATCATTGGGAAGGCACAACGCAATTTAAGAAATGAATTGTTACACCCACCATGGCTGGAAGAGTATTTATGTCACATATCACCATGTGCCTTTCCTTTCTCACTAGTTTCATATTCCTAGGCTTCCCTTTTGTTTCTGCAGTGCTTATAAGGAAAACTGAGGCAGAATCCAATAAGAAAGTTCTAGTCAATTGAGAAGACTTTAAAATCAGAAAGCTTCTTGCTGTCATTGGATGAGCAAGTGAGGGATCAACCACAGAAACTGGATATCCAAGATACCTCTCCTAAAAACCAGTTCCACAATTCTACTATTCGAATTTAGGATCCTAAAGAGGGGATGAGATAAAAACGTTAGTCTATCCCACTATCCAAACTTCTCTCAGAATTAAAGCATTCATAAACTGTTAAAGGTATAGCTTCCGTTAGGTGACTACTAATCAGTTAGTCCCAAAATCTGCACACAGTATCTTTTACAGCTGAGAATTTATACTTACTGACTGTAAGTATAAACACTGTGTTAAATCTCTTAATGGTTTTGCTCACACATTGTACATTTCCCTTTCAAAATAAAAATATTACACAGGCATCCTTTATCCTTCTACCCACAATATTAATAAAAATATAAAGCTTTAAAACTTTAAATCTACCAGCATTTATAAATACAATTATATTAAACAAGTTAAAATACTTTTCTTTAGCAGATATATTAAACAAGTGATACATTAACAAAACCTTCTTACCATTTATGATACTGTATCATTAAAATTAAAGAAAAATATGAAAATAGAAGAATGTTCCCATTAAAACAAAAGAATAAGGGACTGTTAAGTGTGATGGATGGTCCAAGTCCAGATGCCTTGCTCTTGAAACAGAACGCTGGGTTAGGAAGTCAGAGCATTTCTTGGTTAATCATTTAGACAATTAACTCTTTTCCCAGAGTTTCTTCCCTGGAACTCCTGACCCATTTAGACCTGTGATCTTGGTGACCTCACATGCCTTCGTTTCTCACAATCTTCTCTAAAAGGATCACACTGCGACTTGAAACAGATAGACTGAACTCCCCAGTGGAGCTGTACTGACTACTGTTTGAAAGTGGCAAGACGACAAATCAGCACACCCACACAGATTATTCTCCGGTACCATACACGCAGCTGTCTTTAGATGCTTCTTGATGGAAACAGAAGGCCAGGACTTTTCGTTTGAAAGGGATCTGAGCAGCAAACAGACAAAAAAGGAGACTGCTAGATGTTTTGTAGTTTGTCAAGGTAAACAATCTGAACTGAACAGCTGTAGTAAATATCAAATTCCCAATTCTCAATTAACAAAATTCTCAATTAACAAAACAAAAATACTTTTTTTTTCCTTAACAGAACTGAAAAACCCCAACAGTGTGTCACGTGCAAGGCTGGTCCGCCTCCAGCTACAGCCAGTGCACAATGTCACGTTTGTCGTCCATTCCTCACTCTTTTAACTCTTCCTCCTTTGGAAAGTGTTCCTGCTTGCAGGCGACATCCACCAGCAGATGAAGATCTAGAAAGGAAAACAAGGTTTGTTTACTCTGGTTCTCAAACTGTGGAGTTCAGACACACGCCTTTCAACAAGAACAAGCTGCTATGTTTCACCTGTAGAATGGGCTCTAAAATTACATTATCTCATCAGATTCTCAATTTTTAGGGCATTTCTGTACCTCTTAAAGCACAGATGCAGCTCAGTCATTAACCCAGAGAGACTAGCAAAGTTTAAAATGTCTCTCCTTTTAGTGATGTCACTAAGCCTTTTTTCATTTCAACTGACTTTCATTATAAATATAAATTAAGAAAAAGTGTCAGATCAAAGTACAATAAACACACATATGAAACTCATTTCTTCAGTGTTATAAAAATAGGTTCCAGGATTATGAAGTAATGCCTTACAAAAAACAATGTTAAATTAAGTAAACACTACCTTTCCAAAGTTGATTGCCTCCATAAAATTTCCACCTATTGACTAATGCAGCTGATTCGCTTATAAAAGTGTCTATCTGAACTGTCTAAAAAAAATAAAGTATACCCTTCAAGGAGGTCAAGAGACAAAAAGTGGGTTCAGTAAGAATGGGAAGAAGTAAAAAAGTGAACTCTCAGCTCAGGTACTAGGTTCTATAACAAAAAAAGTTAAAGCCATGTATAGAAACAGAGTTAAACAGCCTCAGTAACTAATGTGGCTTCCGGCTTCCCAGGCGGCTCAGTTATAAAAAAGCCGCCTGCCAATGCAGGAGCAGCAGGAGACATGGGTTCCATCCCCGGGTCGGGAAAATCCCTTGAAGAAATGAATAGCAACCCACTCCAGTATTTGTGCCTGGAGAATCCCATGGACAGAGGAGCCTGGCGGGCTACAGTCCATGGGGTCACAAAGAGTTGGACAAAACTAAGCAACTGAACAAACGTGGCTTTTAGATTCAATCTAATTAACTTACAACTTCTAGAATAACATGGCTTCCCTTGTGGCTCAGCTGGTAAAGAATCCACCTGCAATGTGGGAAACCTGGGTTCGATCCCTGGGTTGGGAAGATCCCCTGGAGAAAGGAAAGGCTACTCACTCCAGTATCCTGACCTGGAGAATTCCATGGACTGTAGTCCATGGGGTCGCAAAGAGTCGGACACGACTGAGCGACTTTCATTCACTCACTCACTCAGAATAACATGACCTAGGAGCCTTTTAAAGGTTGATTTTTAAGCTTACAGTCTCGTCCTAGTAGCATTTTGGAATTAAACTAAACTACACAGAATGAATCCTTAATTTCCTACTAGACATACAGAGACTTCTGTTCGGGTATTTGTAAAACACAACTTCTGTGGGACTGATCAACACCCTGAGCAGGAGAGATGAGACAATAATTCTACCACCACCTTTGAGAAAATCTAGAGGGCATCTGGAACAGTACTTAATTTTTGCCCTCTTTTGTAAAAGAAAGATCAATTACTAAAGAAAAGTACTAGCTCATCTGCTGAAGAAGAGTACAACCTATCCATAAAGAACAAGCAATTTCGAAATTCACTGGCAATCCGGTGGTTAGAGCGCCACGCTTTCACTTCAGGGGGCATCAGTTCGATCCCTGGTTGGGGAACTAAGACCCTGCATGCTGTGCCTTGCAGTCAAAAAAAAAATTAGTTAAAAACAGAAAACGTTAAGTGCAAGTCACTCAGTTGTGTCTGACTCTTTGCGACCCCATGGACTTTACACTCCATGGAATTCTCCAGGCCAGAATACTGGAGTGGGTAGCCTTTCCTTTCTCGAGGGGATTTTCCCAATCCAGGGCTCAAACCCAGGTCTCCTGCATTAAGAAAAAGCAATTTATCCAAATAAGCATCTTGCAGACGAACAGACATCAAGTTATCACTTAAAATGGGCTTCTTGTATATCTAGGATCACGGCAGCATTGTTTACAATAGACAAAAGATGAAGGTAATCCAGGAGTCCATCAACGGATGAATGGGAAAGCGGGTGGTAGATATATACAATGGAGTATTATTTAGCCTTAAAAAGGAAGGAAATGATGACACACGCTACGTGAATGAGTCTTCAACATGAATGACACACAACATGAAATAGTCACAAAAGGACAAATACTGTACAAGTCTACTCATATGAAGGAGTCAAATTCATGGAAATAAAAGTCTAATGGTGGTTGCCAGGGGCTGCAGGGAAGGATGTAATGGATATGGAGTTTCAGTTTGGGAAGATGACAAAAGTTCTGGAGATGGATGGTGGTGGTGGTAGCACATAATGTGAATGTACTTAATGCCCCTGAATTGTACACTCAAAAATAGTTAAAAAGGTAAATCTTATGTTATATATATTTTACCACAAAAATGACTTCTTTATAGTCTAAGTAACACGGATAATGATTAGTTATATCTTAATTTATAGAACATCTTTTTTTTCAAGTAACTGAAATGCAGTTTATATGGTCATCTAATTAATGCTGAGTAATAAAGAGATGACTGAAAGAACCTCTACACTAGATGACTACTAAAGCCAATGGTTTCTAAATCTTGCTGCACACTGGAATCACCTAGGGACCTTTAAAAAAAAAATACTGAGATCCAGGGCTACTACTCCCATACATTCTGATTTCACTGGTACAGACTGCAACCTAGGCATCAGAATTTTTAAAAGGTGATCAAAGGATACAGAATGAGTAATATGTAAGTATGATCATTCTCTAAATACTTCAACTCCACATCAGAATAAGGAAGACAGGCCATATGGTAATAGAGAATACTAAAATAAGACTTTGGAATGTGAACAGACCTAACTGCAGCCCTATTTTGAAAGCAAAGTAGGAATCCTTGATAATGACAAAGGCTGTTGTTGTTGTTCAGTTGCCAAGTTGTTTCCAACTCTTTGCGATCCCATGGACTGCAGCATGCCAGGCCTCCCTCTCCCTCACCGTCTCCCGGAGTTTGCCCAAGTTCATGTCCACTGAATCGGTGACAAAGGTAAAGACTATAAAACAAGGGTTAAGACTATAAAACAACTATAGACCTCTTATGGGGAGGTAGACTGAAGAAGAACAACAAATCCTCTTTTTTTCAGTGGACAACTGTCATTTATTTAATTAAAGACTTTATCCTTTTGATAGGTTCAAATAATGAACAAGAGCACATCACAGATAGGCATGTTTAAAGTAACAACAGCTCAGTGGATAACCAGCAAGGTCCTACTGTGTAGCCAAGGGAACTGTGCTCACGGTTATATGTCAGCCTGGATGGGAGGGGAGTTTGGGGGAGAAGGGATACATGCACAGGTATAGGTATGGCTGAGTCCCTTTGCTGTCCACCTGAAACTATCACAACATTGTTAACTGGCAATATCCCAAAATAAGATTTTAAAAAATAAAGTACCAATAGCCGGTATGGCTCTATAATAGCCTCGGAATGAGTTATGTAGTGTGAGCAACAAACCCTCTTAGCCTTAATGACTGGGATTTGCTGTTGTCCAGTTTGCTCAGTCATGTCTGACTCTGCGACCCCGTGAACTGCAGCACGCCAGGCTTCCTGTCCTTCACCACCTCCGGGAGCTTGCTCAAACTCACGTCCATTGAGTCAGTGTTGCCATCCAACCATCTCATTCTCTGTCGTCCCCTTCTCCTCCTGCGTTCAATCTTTCCCAGCATCAGGGTTTTTTCCAATGAGTCAGCTCTTCAAATCAGGTGGCCAAAGTACTGGAGCTTCAGCATCAGTTCTTCCAATGAATATTCAGGATTGATTTTCTTTAGGATTGACCAGTTTGATCTCCTTGCAGTCCAAGGGACTCTCAAGAGTTTTCTCCAACACCACAGTTCAAAAGTATCAATTCTTTGATGCTCAGCCTTTTTTATGGTCCAACTCTCACATCCATACATGACTACTGGAAAAACCACAGCTTTGACTAGACGGACCTTTGTTGGCAAAGTAAGGTCTCTGCTTTTTAATATGCTGTTTAGGTCTGTCATAGCTTTTCTTCCAAGGAGCAAGTGTCTTTTAATTTCATGAATGCATCAACATCTGCAGTGATTTTGGAGTTCAAAAAAATAAAAGTCTCCCACTGTTTCCATTGTTTCCCCATCTTTTTGCTGTGAAGTGATGGGACTGGATGCCATGATCTTTGCTTTCTGAATGTTGAGTTTTAAGCCAATTTTTCACTCTCCTCTTTCACCTTCACCAAGGGCTCTTTAGTTCTTCTTCACTTTCTGCCATAAGAGTGGTGTCATCTGCATACCTGAGGTTATCGATATTTCTCCTGGAAATCTTGTTTCCAGCTCTGCTTCATCCAGCCCAGCAATGAGCATGATGTACTCTGCATATAAGTTAAACAAGCAGGGTGACAATAAACAGCCTTGATGTACTCCCTTCCCAGTTTGGAACCAGTCCATTGTTCCATGTCCAGTTCTAACTGTTGCTTCTTGACCTGCATGCAGGTTTTTCAGGAGGCAGGTAAGGTGGTCTGGTATTCCCATCTCTTCAAGAATTTTCCACAGTTGGTTGTGATCCACACAGTCGAAAGCTTTAGTGTAGTCAATGAAGCAGATGTTTTTCTGGAATTCTCTTGTCTTTTTTGATGATCCAATGGATGTTGGCAATTTGATCTCTAGTTCCTCTGCTTTTTCTAAATCCAGCTTGAACATCTGGAAGTTTTCAGTTCACATACTATTGAAGCCTAGTTTGGAGAATTTTGAGCATTACTTTGCTAGTGTGTGAAATCAGCGCAATTGTGCGGTAGTCTGAATATTCTTTGTCATTGCCTTTCTTTGGGACTGGAATGAAGACTGACCTTTTCCAGTCCAGTGGCCACTGCGGAGTTTTTCAAATTTGCTGGCATACAGTCCCCAATGTGGGGCTTTCAAAGTCCCCAATTTGGCCCATAGCTTCTAATAACAAGAATCTAAACCTGATAATTTTATTAAAGTGAGCTTCCTTCATTAACAAAGCTGTCAATCAAGGAATTCAGAGCATAGAGACCAATAAAAATGCAAAAAGACAGAAACTAGTCTGATGCCACTAGAGGATTCT